TCAAAGGACTTCTAAACTTCCGTCAGATAGCAAGTTAAAAATGGGATAAATCAAACAAATATCAAAGAATGTAAAAATATTGTTTATTATACAGAGAAGTAAATTATTTAGGTAAATACATATATCTTTAATAAAGAGAACGTGTACCTCATAAATTTTACCTGGGTTTATGGATTCAGCTATCACTTATTTGACAAGCAACAGTTTTCTCTCCATGATTATGAAATAAGTTATACAAGTGTTACCATCTTTATAGAAAGTAAGAATACTGTAATTTACAGATTCCATTGAAGCAAATATACTGCTTGTCCTTTCAGTAGAATCCAATGACAAACCCAGGTAACTCCATTTAATTCGGCAGTGTTCCGTATATAACGTATAAACACAGACATTGTTGACCAAATAGTCGCTAATAAACACCTATTGGGTCCATAATCACTAGCATAATTAGTGGAATCGAATTGCATCTTTTTATGTGAACAATACAGAATAAAGTAAATCACGTATTAAAAGGTAAAATATTCATGTCAAATATGAAATTAACACGAAGCATTAAAAATTCAAACTATTCAACTCAAAAGATGTAAAACGTTTAAGGAGGTTGAGGTGTATAATATATGAGGACACTTAACACGTATTACTGATTTACATTTTTAATTGTAAATAACTGTCAAGTCGTAGACGTTTTCTTCACTAAAAATAATGAATGAAAACGTGGATGAATGAATCTCAATCCTTCCCGTGTTTTCATGTCCTTAATAAGCTTATGGGTATGGTGATTTGCCGCCTATTGTAAAATTATGTCCTGAGAACTAGGTGCCACTGTGATCGGAAACTTCACCTTTTCTCCCTAATGTTATATTGATTCTTTTCTTATGGTCTCAAAAATATTTCAAATTTTAGGACAACACTGCTTTTATTTTTTGAGCGCCACACCTAAATTCTCCTTCCTTGTATCCTCAGAATTTATTTAAAAAATAAATGTTGAAACGTTTTTGCCTAAATTTTGAAGCTGCCATAAATCTTATAATTCCTGCTAATAACTGGATAAACCAGGAAGACTGAAGAAAAACACTTTTTTAACGTTTTTGAACATCATTTCACCTATTGAAGATCCAATGAATGAAAATATATACCTGCAAACAACCCAAAAATAATCCAGAGTAAGTGCATTCATATTTTATCATTGGAATAACTGTTTATCTTTTAATACTCTTTACTATTTTAAGGAAGTCAAGTGTTCATTCCATTAACTCTGAAGGTTATCATATATTTACAAGCACTGATTTTAAATCACTATCTAATTTCTCGTATACTCAGTAAACTATGTGTTTCATTGTTGTTTCTTTTTATTAGAAGAATTGAGTAACATTTTGTCATAACATAAAGTCGAAAGTTGACTCAATAAGGTGTTGTTCTTGTAGATCTAAATACCTGAATTCAAATAATATGAAATATCCCTAACTTTTAAAGCTTTTTATGTCAATGAATAAATGAAGTACTTTTAAGTGGCATGCCATTACATTTATCAAAATGAATGGTGGCAGCCTATCGACGGCAGTAATTTCGTGTGCCCGCGAGTGAGATAAACAAGTGATTTACTCTCTTTTGATTGGCCAGTTTGTCATTCGAGTTGCGGTAATTTCAAACATCATTTAGATGCTTGGTTAAGTTCACAATTTCCAGGAGCGTTTTATCAAGTCGGGTGCATAATTGACAACACATACTATTACAGCTCAGGATAGAAATGATATACCAGTGGATTTATTTGCTGAATTCAATGAATTCATCCCAGGAGTGTGAAGATTCAGATTCAGATGCAAACAATATTCCGAAGAGGTGATAACTTCCTGCAACTTCAATTATCGCTTGACTATTATTTTCAGAGATCCTTAAATAAGTATAAAATACACAGCGGTCTGGTTAATTATGATAAAAATGGCATGGTTGATGCAGCATATACGTATACTTATGTTTATGTAGGTATACCTACATATACTGTACTCTTGTCATGAAGATCGGGAAGCAGGCATCAAACGTCACAGTAAGCAGTGTAATACATGTAGGCTACATGTTTTCAGTTGACATAAATTGGATCTCCATTCACTTTCAGAATTAATCTTGAGTTCATTTGGAATAAGCTAATTGACCACATCAGTATTACGAGAATACAGTGAAAGTAAGTAATCACCTGCTTTATAAGATTAAGTGATACATTTAATTGATATGATTGTATTATTAGTAGTTGTCTATCTAAGTTAATGATGAATTCGTTGCGATAATAATACCTATTATTGTTTTTATAGTCACTATGAACATGAACATTATTATTATTGCTGTCAAGACTCTTATTATTTGTCATAAAGCCATTGTCATTTTTTATTAAAATCTTTGTACAAGCTTTGGAAACTACTGCATAATTTGTCGTTAAATAATTTTATCATTTCATGATGCTTCGATGGACCTACTAGATATCGACCAACGATAAATTGCGAAGTCCCTTAAGTTTAGTGAAAACTATTTAGCTACTTATATATATTGTTTGTAAAGTGATTACTTGTAAATGCTTATCAGAAAAATCTTTTTATTCAGATCATACATGTACTACCCAAGTTAATAATGCTTTTCTTAAACCTTTTCAGGCTTATGGAGAAACATATATGTGCTGTGTACGCAGATGGAACCTACTGACAGTAACGGAGGACTACTCATCTGAATTATCTGTACATCTGAAATCTAATTTTTGTTTAATAAACAATTTTTCAATGAATCTGTGTTCCTTCTGTCGTAACGCGATTGTGTTCCGGTAACATAAGTAACACGTGCTAAGTTAGGAATTGAGGGTAAACTGTTAGGAGTAAATGCGGCGTCTGGGAAGCTTTCGTTTACGCGGTTAGATAAACAGATAGCAACGTACCGTGTTCTGTGGCTGCGAACTGTAGGCATTCTGTTTTTAATTATTACGATAACCGTAGTTGCACTGAGTTATAAATCTAACAGTATAGGTACAGTCTATCCTCATGGCTCATTGCGACACGTAGAAATCACAAGCACACTATCTCAGGTAGATTTATTTTCACTTTGTGATTATGAATCGCGAATCAGTTTATGTGTTCTGCTAAGACGATAGATAACTCGAAACGCTTTATAATCGCAATACCTCCTCTGAGATTTGGACATATTTACTTTATTTAACTACAACATAATCTTTTTACCAATAGGCTTCTCCGAATATCTGCTCTTACTTAGTATTTCAAAGATAGCCTCATAAACTCTGTACCTCACAACTTACGCAAGGGCTAATATTCGGTCTTATCAAGTAGAATATACAAACGAATAAAGAGGAATAGATTTATTAATGAATTAACATGTAATACAAAATCAATGACACTGCGGAAATCTTCTTTAGCACCCAACTCCATGAAATCCCCGAAAGCAGCTATCACCTGAAAAAGAAATTAAGCAATCAAAAGATGTAAACATTGTTACCATTATAAATACAAAATTTAAGTGATAGAAATACTAGATAATGCGTTAAATTGTGTGTACTTACGTCATTCAATATTTTTCAAGCAGACACCATCACCTAAGGTACACAACAAAGTAAGTAAAAATAACTAACAAAACGAACTAGTCTACCTCATCATGTCTATGTCTAACCCTCTGAACTGCAAAAAAACATGGCTAAAAGTTGTTATAATATGTGTCTTCAAGTAATTCGACATTTTCTGAACGGAAAAGTACGTATTTCAACAATTTGTAAACTGGCCGTAAATTACGGCCGGATAAGGACACCATCATTTGCTGTTTATGCTGAAAACGCTTTATTCCATTGACTTTTAGCTGCAATACAAGCATAAAAGTGTGTAAAACAACGAAAAATTACCTAATTTTGAGGTTTTTTCAATAAATAAAGCCTGTAGACATCAGCTGATCAAATGACCTACGGCCGTATACAGGCTGCCAATGAATGGTACAATAATTTTTGCTATAGTAAATCACAAGTGAATGAGTGTCAAAAATATGTTTCAGTGTCAGTGTTTTTTGCTGCAATATACGAGGAACTGTTTAGAAAAATAATTTCTACCAAAATTTAAAATTGTGATTGATGATGTTTAGTTTGTAAGATGATAAATTCAGATGTTTGGTTTAAGTTTTTATTCAAAACCTGGTTTAAAGGTGATGTATTCTACAAAAATACTGACGTGGTTTGTGATTACTGCTCCAGATACTATGATTACTTCAATCTCTCCTATTTAAACTTAGAATTATTATGACCTTCACCTACGAACTTCATTTCATGGTATAAAAAAGGGTTTCCTTCCCTTTCGTCTAACACTAAATTAAGTGTAGATAATTTTGATATATTTACTGAATCGTTTTCGTCAAAACACTGTGTCTGTAAAAAGAATAACATCATTAAAAGCTGGATTTCATTGCTCATAATAAAATGGTGGAGACTGATTGATGACCTAAGCTAGAACTTTATAATACCACGTGGAAGAATTCTAAAACTTCGCCGTCTCAGGAACATTAAATTTCTGTGGTCAAAAGTATAACTTTTTAAATCTATAAGTTTCCTTTTCTTTTAAAGTGTTACTTATAATGATGCCAATAGTAGCTCCAAAAGCTCTACCAACAGCATCTGAAGATGGTAGGTCGAAAAGACTACCACCAGAAGACAGTGACACATTCAGAAATACTAAATTTTATAATTTCACATATTTATCCAGATCGAAATTATAATCATCATACTAACATTCTTCACTAAATGAATTATCATAATTCAAAACCTACATGTTTGCTTTAGTGGTTGATTGGGTTAACTAATACACCCACTTAAAATAACAAAAGTAAAAACGAATAACAACACCCACACGTTTTAAGCAATAGTTCATTGGTCTATTGGATCACTGAGATAACTAGTGAGGAGTAGACAAAATTATACATGAATTTATGAATAAATGAATAACAATCCCACTAACTTTTGTCCTTTACATCAGGATATAATAATAATAATATAATAGTACTGTTATATACTGATGATGTGAATTATTATGTCACACATGATGATAATATGGTCATTTTAGTCACAATATGACATCTTTCCTATTCAGTGAAAAAGTTAGACATAGCATCATTGATTCCTCAGACTTCTCAAATTACAACAACAAAAGTTTCAGTAGTGATATTTCAGCTGGGACAAATTTTACAGTCTACGCATTACCTGGTTATTATAATCTATGGAAATCTATCCTTCTTGGAATTATATTAAGTATTGCAGCTTTGTTAACTGTTATTGGTAATTTTCTTGTCTTTTTAGCATTTCTTCGTGAAAGATATATGCGTAAAAATCTAACAAATTGGTTTCTAGTTTCACTCGCTATAGCTGATTTATTGGTGGGTACTATAGTTATGCCATTTGCTATTTTTCATACCTTAAATGATGAATATTGGCCATTTGGTCGTGAATGGTGTGATGCATGGCATGCATTCGATGTATTAAGTTCAACAGCGTCAATACTAAATTTATGCGCAATAGCCCTGGAAAGATTCTGGGCAACAGAGAATCCTATCACGCATACATCGATGAGAACACGACGTCATTGTTTACTTATGCTTGCATTTGTATGGATATGTTCAATTCTTATTTCATTTCCCGCTATATTATGGTGGAGAAATACACAAGATTATATAGTCTCATCCTCTTACATTTGCCAGTTTACATCGGACAGTATTTATTTAATAGTCTCCTCTTGTGTATCATTTTATATCCCGTTAATTGTTATGCTGGTTGTTTATGCTCGCATTTATCAGACAGCAAGTAATTTAATGAAAAGTTTAAAAAGTGGTGAAAAAATTGTTGTTTATTCAAATGCTAAATGTAGTTCACCGCCAAATTTCAAGTTTTTAACAAATAATTCATCAAATGAACAAAAGAAAAAGTCATGGTTAAAGACAAGTCGAAACAAAATAAAACCTCATGAATTTATGCCATCACATTTCTCTATGTCTCAAGGGGATACGATGGTTCTTCGTATACACCGTGGTGGAAAAGTTGATACTATTAATTCTAATATCAATAATAGTAGCCATAATAACAATGATAATAATAAGTTGAAAACACATAAATCGAAGGCTTATTCTAACCGACATCATTATTTTGATAAAAATAAAATCAAACAAAGGAAGACAGGCAGCGCAATAAAATTCACAAATTCTGTTTGTTTAAATGATAAGCGTAAAATTAACACAATGTCAAACACAAATACAAGAATCAATATCACAACGAGGACCCCTATAACTAATAGAGTCTTATCTAATTCTACACTACCATCACTGGGGAAGCGCAGTAAAACAGACTTGAAAATTGTTAAACCAAAGTGGAAACATACATATTCTTTGACACAAATATCCACGCATTCACAAATATTTTCTGATGGATTTAATACTGGTAAAGTAATCAATTATCAAGTGAAAAGTGAACTTAATTTCAGACGATCACATTCTTCTGGCATTCTAAACTACTTATCGCAATCGCATCCAGCGATGCAATGCTTTAAGCGACATCAACATCAAAGGCAACAAATATCACCTTATCATTTAATAACAGGCGCGGAAAGCTCACCATATTACATTCAGACAGATTATTACAACAGTTCTCCAAGACAATATCAGAAGAAACACTCATCATCTTCCGCAAGTGATCAGTCGAACTGTATGAAGAAACAAACAAATCATCTTTCTTATGCATATGACTTCCCCCGTGATAAACTTAAGCCTTCCGTAGCTAGATTAGTTATGAATCAACAAAGTATTAACAACGCTTCTCGTCCATATGTTACAAATAATCTATCTAATATTGTTACCACTCCAGCTGTCCATGATGGTTACAGTGGAACCAGAACAGATGGTCATGGATGTGTGACTGTCATGACCGGTAATATAGATCAACAGATGACATGTTCACTATCAAAAACGAAATATTGGATCAACCAGTTGAGAGAGTTTGCTAGGACAAGGCGTGTTTGCAAATTTGTACGTGAACAAAAAGCAGCTAAAACTCTTGGCATTATAATGGGTTTATTTATACTGTGCTGGTTACCATTTTTTGTATGTAACATACTAACAGCTATCAATCCATATTCAATTAACAAAAACACTGCATTCAAGCAAATTATTATTATTGTTACTTGGTTAGGATATATTAATTCATGTATCAATCCAATTATCTATGCTCATTCAATGCATGAATTTCGGAGGGCATTTAAACGACTTCTGTGTTGTCATTGGTGGCATCGTAAACAAGTTCAGCTGAGAAAATCAACATCATTTTCGAATCAGTGTCATCGCCATCACCAACATAGTACTTACCTTCATCAGAGTCATCATTCTCATCACAAACATCATCAAAACAAACTTTGTCAGTCTGAAGATCAGAAAAACTCCTACCATAGTCAATTTAGTAATCAGAGTAAACATAACTATGAAACAATGCTAGAAAATTACCAATCTCCTGTAAAATTCCCCACTGTAACAGATTATCAATCAGGTAACTGTCACACTCAACAACAGAATGCTGAAAGTAGCTATTTATCATACAGCATACTTTTGCCAAATTTAAGCGACTCAATTTGTTCCAAATACAAGTAGAGAATACAGGACGGACGTAAGGTTAAATCACGCAAATTACTTGTTATTTGATTTTAAATTGGTAAATGAAATAACGACTTTTAGTATTCATAACTGCTCTCTGTCTGTAACAGTGTAAGGAAATTTATACTAACTGGAATAGCAGTTCAACACCATAATGTCTGCTCAAATACGCTAATAACTTTTATCATTTGCATTTTTAAATAAGGGAATTTATTTTATTAGTTACGTAACTATAAATGCATAGATAACACGTCAACCAAATCATGATGTAATTCAAAGACATATCCGATAACAGAACAGATTAGCTGAATTTATCAAAGCGTTTAAAAGACTTTAGTCTCAATAATATCTATGATAGAAACAAAGCTGATATAAACTATTTCATAATACTTGTCTGAGAAATGTTATGTATACGTCATTTAAAGTGTTCAATTATGGCACTTTATTTAAATCTTCAGAACTGTAAAAAAAATCAGATGAACGTACCTTTTTACACTTTATGTGAGAGAAAACTGAGATGTTTTTGTATATTTATATATGCATGTATATATATGGATAAAAATTAATTCAGGTAATCTTATTTATTTCTTTTTGTATACTTAAGTAAAGCATGTGCAGTTGTAAAAATTTATATAAACCGTAATTTACCGACATTCAGTTATAGTAGACCATGTAACATAGTGACCGACAAAATTGAAATTTTCACTTTCAAAATGAAAAAAGTTATTTTAAAGAAGGCCATATGGATCATACAACTTCCAGCTTCTCATTTAAAACTTGTACAACCTTATGAACGTTTGCATATTTAAATGAAAACACACGTTGCTTTTGTTTGACAACCTAAAGAACCATTCATAAAAATCAGTTCACATGAGTTCAGTCTGACTAAAGCTGAGTAGATTAAAAATTAGACACTGTAAACGCAGTAACAAGGCAAAAATTCTCTAAAATTAAGTAAAGACTTTTATTTCCAAGGCAGAAGAACAAAAAAAGAGAATACATAAAACTTCAGGTGCACATATGTAAGACAGAAGTGATGCCAATACAATAACAAACAACAGTCGCCATAATTTGGAGGAATTTAAAGAAATTCGTCTCTTACATTTACCTGGCTAAACAGTATCGTTCCAACTACAGGCGGCATAGATGAGGATATCAAAGCCAGACAGGATCTGATCTACAGTAAATAGCACAACGAATATGATCCGAACTTTCAACGCTGATATCAGATAAGTGAGTGACTTTATGTGGTCGAGAGGCATGGTGCATTCGTCACTAAAAGTATTTTCAACACACTAAAGACAAAACAATAAGAAGACGTAATTTGTCTGAATCGTGTAATGTATTTGCGCAACACATTTCGAACAATCTGATCACACACAGACTTGTCATAGGAATATATATGAAATTAATAAAGAGATAAGAGGTGAGAAAATAGACTTAGGTCAAGTTTAAAGGACATATTCAAGGTCAAAGTAACAATGAAGACCACTAAACCAAATACCAGAGGTAATAGTACATCACGTAATGCGAAGACATGTTCGATCCGGATTCGAAACTGAAGTGATAGCACCCATCCTGTAAAATAAAAAAGTACAGAAACTTCAAGCCAACTAGCTTGAAGCCCTATGTTCCACTGGGGAACGTGAAGGAAAAAAAAAGTACATCTGATATGGTATCAAAACAAAATTTACCAAGGAAGGTTTAATGTGATGACGAATTGTTTTTGAACGCATAAAGGTGGCTTAAACTTTCTAATTGCTAGGGCTTCCACAAACTTTAGGATACGCCCCAAACACGTTTTATAGATATGTTTTAAAGATCTGTTAACGTCAGTTTTATGTCCCGTCTATAATAGACAATCGTGAACGCCCGTCTCCTTCTCTCGATGCCAAATATCAGATGGTCGGTTCTAAAGGACCATATTAAGGTAACGAAGCAACTAAGAACTTATCGCCCAACAATTATGCAGAAGGAATTGGAAGTAGAATTGCCATACACTGAAGAAAACTTCAAGAGATGCCACACACTAGGTCCTCTGGTGGAATCCGGATGTATATTAAGAAGTTGATCGCCTCAAAATGACATTGGGAAGGTCACATGAGGAGGAGGCGAAAGCTTTTGGGCAGTTGTGGAGCCAGCTATCGATCATGACAGAGAACCATGTGTGAGTTCATGTTTCTCTTGGAACGCAATAAATACAACATCTAATAATAATTACAGTAGGAAGCCTTGGACATAGGTTTCGTGCTAGTTGGCACTCATCAGCAAGGCGTATCTGCAACCTTGAAGGAACTGATGTCCCTTCTGACATTCGAACCCGCGTCACCCAGTGCTGCAGTCAGAGACGTTACCACTGAGCTATTCAGGCTCGCGACTGACCTCCTGTAGGACTGTATTGGATATTTTTGATTGCACACTAGTCAGTAACTAGTGTAATGCGTCTAGTCCTATCTTCGGTGCAGACTGAACTCTATCAGTCATGTTTGCAATGTGGCCACCATGCTAGGTGGCTCGCCATTACGGTGCCTCCAACCATCTAATACCAACAATTCACAGTGCACCGTAATGGCGAGCCACCTAGCATGGTGGCCACATTGCAAACATGACTGATAGAGTTCAGTCTGCACCGAAGATAGGACTAGACGCATTACACTAGTTACTGACTAGTGTGCAATCAAAAATAATTACAGTAGTTTTATTCTAAAATTGCATTCATATTTTTTACGCAACTGACTGAATGTTATACTGGCCAGTATATACCTCTTGTAAACTAATAATCATTAGTGTATCAAGTGAACTAATATTGTTCTATCCAAACGATGTTTGAATAACCTGTAATCCTTTTTCCCACTTCTTCTGAAAAATCCAGCATAGTAGGCTGAGACCCATTTGAAAATCGGTGTGAGTTCTGAGTACAACTCAAATGAGAGATTGGATAAATGAACAACGTGAAATAGATTGAAAGATGCATTCTGACAGATGAAAAATTAGGTAGCGAACTTATTCAAGCAAATCTCTATGAATAACAATAATAGTAATAATGCTCATCAGAAGTAATGATCAAGCAATTCGCCTGAATGATGCGAACAATTACAGCAAAGTGTTTGGGGATGTTGAGATGAGAAAATGACTACGCAGTAGTAGTAGTAGTAGTAGTAGTAGTAGGGGAAAGAAACGACTTCCAAAGATAAAATACACACACATGTAAAGCTTATTGTGTATCAGATGACTGAACAAGTATTTTGTCTGAGAAATTCAGTAATTTTCCGCTCTATTTTAATAAAATCCCTATTTTTCCTATGGTCTTGACATAATTATTGATTAGCTACATCCCCTCAGAATCGTTCTGCTTGCAATCTGCAATGATGAATATTTAATCAAAAAATGTAACACTGAAACCGAATGTGACGCATCTACTTTTGATGAATAAAAGGTTGGCGTTCTTAAATCTAGATTCTATTATCTTTTATCTGAATTTCTTTTGCTTAGTGGTAGTATAGATCGAAGTTACTAAATGAATTTATTTTGTCTTTATATATTTAGTTAATCTGATCTATTAATCCTCAAACTGTTTTACATACACATATGATGTTCAGAAATTCTTCTAACAAGTAGATTGATGACAGCATTGTTTTAATAAAGCGTATGCGGTGTACTATCTAATAAGTTGAAAAGTTATTCGCATTTATGATCTTCCAAGTAAATTGCTGTGTTTCGGACTATCTCTTGTTCATGTAATTCATTTTTTGTGATTATAGTCATAGTTTAATGCCAAGTGGCAAAATAATTAATGTCGTATATAGAATAATAAATAAGGTGTATAGATTTTGGAAAGGGGTACATAATTATAAGATTAGTAGACGAATACAAAATGTTACATAACATGGTGTGAAATTTGATAAGATAGAATTCAATATTGTAAAAATAAACATATAAAAATCAATAATTTTGGGTTTAAAATGTCAAGTGGAAAAGATTCAGAGTGAGAATAGTAATAATAATAATGATAATAATAATCGTAGTAATAAGGGAAAAGTACATAGAATAACTAAATAAACAAAATAAATAAATGTCTATCCCTTTGCGGCCAAGGCAGAAGTAGGGATTGTACATACTTCTTTTGTACACTAAGGTCTGGCTTAAAGTCATGAATTGCCAAGGCCTCAGCTGTCTTTAGAAGTCTTTAACGAAGAAAACGCGGGAAGTTAGCATGGATTCTATATATGATCTTAAAATCATGGTCAGGGTTGACAGAGTGACAGAAGTCGATCAAGTGTTCTAGAATAGAGCTTCGCACACACTTCCTTTCTCCCTTGTAAAACCATGCTGGAATATGTTCTCGTATCCGTGTGGAAAGCGTCCTCTGACTACGGCCAATGTACCTTGCTCCACAAGAGCAGGTGAACTGATAGATGCACATGGAGGCGACCAGACGGGGGAGCTTATCTTTTACAGAGGTAGAGAACAGCTTGCGGCTAGTGAACGTCATATGTAATTTTGCTGCATAGAACGTTTTACTGACTGATTTAGAGAGACGATTTTTGAGCATATCTGAAGCTTGATCACCTTTGAATTCCAAGTTCATGAATAAGGTTTTCTTTGGAACTGTGTCGGTGACCAGTTTAGACTGCTTATCTTTCATGTTGCTGTCAATAAATCGGTTAGGGTAACAGTTTTCTGCGAGAGTGGCTTTTAAGAAGTCAAGTTCCGAGTCAACGGAATCAGAACTACAAATTTTCCTTATCCTAGAGCAGAGCGAATGAATCATGAATTCATTTTTGCCTACACTTTAGAAGTTAAATGGTAACTGGTGTCATTAAGGTGATTTCCAAAATGAATGCTTCATTTTTGTCAATTTTATAGTGGGTATTTTGTCAACAATCACGAAATGGGAATGTCCCGCTACTTTATTTGTTGCCTGCACAATATATTCGGTTATAAAAATGGTTTAAAGAAATGAAATATTACAAGTCAAGATGTAGTTAGGGTTATTAAAGGGTAGTAATATGAGGCTACGTCTTAGGAAAACCTAGGAAGACAGAGCAGTGTGATGGTGAGGAGTCTGGTAAGTGAAATGAAAAATATCCTGTGAAAATGAGGAATTTACCCAATGAATTCATCCACATAAAATAGATCTCACGGGCAATTTATATGCGCTTCATAAACTTCTGCTCCATAAGTTACAAGGAGAGATTGGTGAGAACATTGTTAGATAGTGTAAGAAAGCCTTGCTCAGAGGGAAAAGTAGAGAAAGAATTGCCCACTGTGGAAAAATGCCTGAGTGACAATGATTACTCAATGAAATTCATCGACGGACATCGAAAAAGTAGTTTTGGAAAAGTGAATTTTAGCAATGTATAGCTTGCCTTGAAAAGCGATGGATGATAGTGCGAGTGAAATAAGATGCAGACTGAAAAGGAAGCGTTATTGCCTGCATTTCTCAATACACACCAAAGAATCTGAGACCAAAGAGATCACGGAAATTAAACGGTGAGATTGCGAAACATTCATTAGACACTGGTTATATTGTTGTCGATCTGAGGCAGCTCAAAATAGTGGACAAGGAGAAGAAATCTGGTTCCGATATGAACAAAAAGATTTTATTTTGATGAAGTCACACAGTGTTATACGGTAATAGTTAACTTTTGATGTAGTTGTGTTCTCTGAGCTGCATGGTTCATTTATTTATTTATTAAATTAATAATCCCCATTGAGACATAAAAACAAAGAATTCAGCGAAGAAAATTCTCGTTTCGACGATTTCATTTTCATAGCTGTACAATCGTCTATATATGAATTACAGTAG